TCAGCACGTGTCAATAACCAAAAATAGAATGAATTTATATTGGCATTGGCAACATCATGCACCGGTGGCTTCGCAGCCGCCGCACTGGCCAGTTAGTCTGAATATTACGTTTTTACATATTATTTCAATTTACAGTGTTCACACCAGTAATAATTGTTCACCGTTCAATCAAAATTGAATATAATGGCGACCGTACCTTAACAGATTTCGTAACTAAAACAGAAAGTTTATAATGTGCGATTCTAATTAGCGTTGTGGTGAAAAGAAGATTATATAATTTGCTATGCTCTTACAAACTGCAAGCGGTAATGGTTTATATCTAATTTTCATACATTTGTTGATTACCAAGTCACAAACACTTACCTAGACTTAGGCAGATGTGTACAGGAGTTCTTGTTGTTACTATTGATCCGTTGTGGTATCCCGGAAAACTCCAAACTCCTGAGCAGCATTTTTCTCTCTTGGTCTTAGTAATCTGCAGTTTTCATTTGTAGTCCTGTCAGTTATACCTATTACTAATTTCATACATTACAATACTACAGACTTTGTCTGCGTTATTCGCATGAAAGTTTAGAAACTTCTCTGTATGGTGTGTGATGTTGATAATTTCGTGGTAAATAGTGTTCAATAGATTTTGTGGCATTGTACCATATTACTAAACTTTCACATTTCTAGTAATCTAATTAACCAAGATAGGTAACTCCTAGACTCTTTAATGATACCTATTCAAGGAAAATTAGGGTGTTCTAGAGTTTATGAAATATAATTAGGTAATGTTGGTTTTGTCTATAGTTTATAAAATATTTATAGTACCTATTGAACCAATAGAGAAATTGATTTAGCAATAACGTTATCATAAACAATAAAATACTCTTCCTTTCAAAAGAGTTGCAATCACAATCTATGATTTTTAGAGGCACAATTCTGAAGAAAACTGTGATTATAATTTGTAAGAATATCAAACTAAACTAACTTCAAACAAGCTAAGATACCCAAACGTAAAAACCACTAAGACAGAGAAATCTAAGAAACGATAAAATAACAAACGTTACACGACAAAATATGATAGCAATGAATATACAAAGAGCGAGTCTCGAAAGCAGTACACAATTGAAATATTCAGGCGAACAATCAAGATCGCTCTGGCTGAGTTCCCATTGTTGCCAGGGCCGAAACATCATTATTGTCAGCGAAAGTCTCCGCTTTTACGAGAAGAAAGCGCAAAGCCATTGATGGTAGGTAAATAAGGTTGTCGTTCTACAAAATTTTGCTTATTTCAATACTATTGTTTCTCTTATCAGAAGTTTAAGAGTTACCTATATTATAGTACCAGTACCTACGCAAGATGAGAATCGACATGAAAGTTTGTGTACTGCTCTATTTGTTATTGTAATAAGTATTTGTGGTTTGTAAACTTGCTGTCGAATCAACTTATCATACAATTGGTTTTAGTAAAGAGATTAAGTCGATTTTACATCAATATTAGTGTTTAGTTCAGAAATAAAATTAATATACCCGTTAACTTTTCTTGAGACGACACTCGAGAAACAATCTTGTAGAAAGACTTCATCAACTACTTCAACGCCTGAGAAGTAAAAGCTCCTTACACTTGTGCTAACCGCTCTTACTTTGAAATGGACTCTTAAAACAATTGGAATGCAATTCCTACCACTAACATTATAAACAAGGTCTTTATGATTCTTCAAACATTAGTAAACATATAAAAACTATCATTTAAACAATGGACAAGTTGCCAGTGAGAATACCAACGAAATTCATTATTGTTAACAAGCCCGGATGTGAACCTTCTTGCCTTTAAAAACATAACTAGTTATGTACATATTTTGACTTATACATAATAAATATCACAAAAATTGTTTATTGATATTTATTCTATTAAATATTTTTGTCGAGCAAACCATTGTTTGTAGCTATTTCATTTTGTTGTTTAATTTATATTAGGTATGAGGATCATACCTACATGACCCATGGCTCAACTTCCTCTACGTAAAAAATAAAGTCATAACAGGGCTACATGTATCTTTTTGAAAAAAAAACAAGAATGAAGTTGATATTACCGGTTGAGAACTTACGCCATAACATAAGTGTAGTATAAAGTTTTATAAAAATAATCACGTCCGTTTTTAGGCTACACGGTCCAGGAGGGACCTTCACACACAAAAAATATGCAAACTTCCAGTTTGTATGTACTATATGAAACCAACACGTCTGAACACGTCTATACATGACTCTACAATCTACATGCTTTGTATACCTATTTTTTATCATAAGGCGACACATAAACTACACCGCTGTCGTTAAAGATAAAAGGTCGTAGAGTGCCAATATTTCTTATTATAGACACAGCCGCACAGAATCAGTCAAGTCATGGGAGTTATAAACGGAGTTGGTAATTCTCATTATTATAAGAGACATTTCTGAAAAACCTATTTGTAAAAAAACGGTTGAAGAGGAAGTGACCAAACCCCAGGGCATCATTCAGACACACACCTACGACAAAATCTTACAAAAGAGGAAATTTTCGATCCAAATACTTCCCAATGACCCAAAAGCTAAAAACCTTATTTTAAATCCGATAGAGAATATAATAAAAATCACTTCGACGTTATATTTTGAGTATTAAACATTGCCTAATACCTACATTATCTATGCAAATTATAGTATACAGACCAGGTAATTTATTTTCAGGCAAACTTTTTTATTTCTCATTGAATATTCATGAAAAAAAATTCAGAAGTTTTAAATGTAAACCAAGCAAGCCTGAACAATATGCCTCTTTGTCAAACCTAGATTAATGAAAATGTAATTTGCTTTTAGCCTCTTACACTTACAATTGTTATGAATTTGTTTCTTGATTTCGGTAATCAGTAGTCATTTCATTAATAGCCTTTGGTACACGGAAGGGCACATTGAGCAAAAACACTAAGAACATGTACGCAATTTTACCAAAATCATAAACATAAATCATTATCAATTCCTAACGTTTTGGTCATCAATAACTGCTTGGGATCACAAATTGACAATCATAAGTCACACATAAGTATGAAATATACTTTCCATATATCTTGTATTCATAATGTTAATGGAACATGTAGGTATATACTTCTGTATATTACTTCTCCAGCGCCACATCAGTATTCTACTGATGTTACTTATGATACGAAAGTAAAAAATACAAAAATTGCTTTTGAAATATCAGATTATGCCTTTATTCTTTGTGAAAGGATTTATTTGCGTATTTGCGTAAATTTCGATTTAGTTAGTCGTAAAGTCGTAATGCAATACTTTGCTTTAAAAATCTTGTTTCGATATTCTCACTTCCATTGAACCCGTTTAGAGTTTGGTTCTAATAAAAAACTGAATCGAACGGAAATGAAACAACGTTAACCGGTTTTTCTCCGGCGGGTTGGAAGGTGCGCTTGAAACTTTTTTCCCTTTTTTGTAGCCATGACACTGGCTGTCCATAAAAAACATTTAAGTCGAATTCATTCTTGTATTGAATTCTATTGATAAAATAAAATTACATTTAATCTAGTTTCTTTCTCATTGTCTATTCAAAATGTAATACACCTTTCGTTGCTATGAATGAACAAGTTAACTCCGACCGGTTTGTCCGGATGCGATGGCTATAAAAATATATAACCTTGTCTGGAAGGAAATTAGCCATCTGTTTGCAAATTGTACAAAATAAATTACACATCTACCTACACGTTTTGAAGCGGCTTTTAAATAGTTAATTACTCACAAGGTACAATTACAGAGCAGGCATTAATATTATCGTACGATCGATCATAAAGCAGGTGTGTGAATGATATAAAGTTGTGAATGTGTGTATACATTTAACGAAGTGTATTGAAGTACCTATGCTTAGAACAGAATATCCGGCAAGTGAAGAACTTTGGTCACTCATACATATTAACATGGTCATGATAACTCTCTATTGCGAGCGTTCCTCGAACAAACTGCCCACGCCATCCTGTCGAGCTTGGTGTGGGTACTTTATGTGAGAGACATAAATCAACGCGTGTCAATATAAATATCTTTAAGAATATGAAGATATCTGTGAATCTCCTTCTAACATATTATGCGTATGTATAATGTAATAAAAAAACTAACTAACATTGTACCCATTACATCCGATAGCGTAGATAATTATCCCAATCCATTATCACCAGTATTTAACTTTATTTAGATCTCTTTGACAAAAAAGAAGTTGAGAATTGTACAAACCTATGAAATACTCTTCATTGCTATAAAAGTGTCAGCGTACGTGTGTGTGTGTGTATGTATGTCAGTGAGAGGTAAAATATTATTATATTAAACCTAATATGTAGTGTAGTAAGTACCTATAGAAATTCTGTACAAGAATCAGCAAGCAATATTGGGTGGCTACTAGGTGAAACCAATTCAAACAAAGTGTACATTTTACAATCGCCAGATTTATTTTTTCATTTTACTGCTAAAACTCTTATTCCTTTTCAACATAAAATTTACACATTCATTATCGTACATTGATTAACATTCAGCGTGAATTACAATAATAATAAGTAACATAGAGAATAATTACTTTCAGGGGGAGTTCGATATCTTTGGGTATTTCGTGTAGATATGTATGTCTTATACTGTACATTATTATAATATTCATGTAACATCTTATTTGAGTTTCAACAATGAAGATATATTCATAATTAGTATTTTATTTATTTGGCGATCATAGACGATAGGTACCATTCCATATCACGTAATAATTTACACTTACATTCTTCAACTAATCAGTCGCGGACCCTTCGCATTTGGATCCAATGTAACTTTCCATTAATTATCTAAATAAATTATATGATACAAAAAATATTACACTAACAACCTGTTTATAAATTACACATACCTTACGTATAAGATGATTTCTAGCTTAGGATACAAATTTACAATTTCTGACATGTCATCTAGATATGCAAACATTACTGCTTTCTTTTATCAGATTAAACATCAGTAGCACAGCCATCCTGAAAGTGATCATCGGCCGAGGGCCTCGTGATCGTGAGGACGCGCTTGAGCGCGGCCACGGGCGGCAGCACCGGGGGCGCCCGCTGCCACACACGGAGCGTGCGCGCGCCGTTCACCGGCAGCCCGTAGTCAGGCGGGTATGGAGCGTCGCTCGGGGGCGCCGGGCTGGGCGCCGTCATCGCATGGGATCGAGGGAAAGTCCGGCTCATGTAGCCTAACTCCTCCTGCGAACCGTCCACGCTGCAGTTCTCTATAATAGGTGTTCTGTCGTTGTAGTACGTAGGAATTGCCGTACTAACCGCACGAGCTAAATTGTTAGCTTGACTCATTTTCATCTGATCCCAAAGACCAGATGGGTATAATGACTCTGAGGTCTCACGTGCATACTCTCCACTTCCTGGCCTAGCAGCACTTTCTGGCCTTGTATCATTTATAAGGTCAGGATCAATATTTCCTGATACTGTAGGAGATACGACTACTGGGCCACCAGCAGTGACGACACTTCCTCTGCCCTCATAATGATTTGTAGTGTAAGGAATGTCATTTGCTCTAGGAGGTTTTAAAACCGGATTACATTTTGGGTCATTGTAATTCGGTGAGTCTTGTCGGTTAGCTAAAACAGCAACATGAGGTCTATCGGTTGATGTCGGATGTACTTCATTTCCAGACACCACTCTGTCTATTGTATTTGGTGTTTTACTTTCGCAAGCCGGAGTTGGACGAAACCGGACGAATGTAATCAGCAGTGCTAAAGAAATGACGACGACGACTAGGAATAATGCAGCTCCAAGACTGGCTATCTGTGCGCTCCCCAAGGAAGCCATGCCGGCTGCTAGTTGTGTGACATGTACAGTGAAATTTGCTTCGGCATTCCCGCCTTTATTCTCCGCTACGCAGTAAAACTCGCTGGAATCTGATTCCTGCGTATTTGTCAATACTAGGGAAGACTTCTTTTTCGACTCCCCTTCTTCAAAAATATAAATTCTCTGATGTGAATTGAAGTGGCTTCCATTTTGAAGCAATCTGCCGTTCCAGTACCAATTAATATTAGCAGTCGGTACAGCTTCTGTTCGACAAGTAATGGTAGCATTGGAACCCACTGCCGCCTCGATATGTCGACTAGCTGGTAATATTTCCGGTTTACATGCAAACTCTTCAATGGGTAGCTCTGAAAATGGTCGGTTAGCTAAACGTGTCGGCGCATAACAGCTGGGCGTTGAAAGCAATTTATGTTTTGCTAACCATAATTTAAGATCTCGTAACCGGCAGTCACAAGTCCAAGGATTGTCCGATAAGTCTATGGCTCGAAGTTTCTCGATCTTCTCTAATGAACTCAGTGGTATATCACGTAGCTTGTTATGGTTCAATTTTAAAGATTCCAGCGAGCGCAACGTCCTGAACGCGTCGGGAGCTATTTCTCTAATGTCGCATTTTGATAGATCAAGCTTGACGACGTTGCCAAGATTATTCAAAGCATCTGCATGGACTTTTAATATTGGATTTTGAGACAGTGTAAGATCCCGTAAGAAAGGTGCATCCTTGAAGCTATCTGAAGGGATCTCTGTGAGTAAATTATAAGATAGATCTAATTCAACTAAATTTGTTAAGCCCTTAAAAGCTCTATCGTGAATTTGGCCAATATTACAATTGCGTAAATACACTCTCTGTAAGTTGAGCAGCCCTGTTTTGGCAAAAGCTTCCTGAGGAAGTATTTGAAGATTATTCCCGGAAAGGTCCAATACTTGCGTGGCTGGGTCTACAGGTTCGGGCACTGTGATAAGAGCTCTATCCACACACTCCACAGTCTGCTTGCCTCCTTTCCACTTACACGCACACACCGCAGGACATGAGCCTGGGGGAGCAATGCCGGCTAAAATTGTTTCCCACACCATCACGCTCATTGTCACTATAAACCACCTCATTTTGTTTCCAAATCCAATTTATTTTAAGTCACTGTAACATTTCTTTCACTTAAATCCACACAATTAACTTGAGTCACAAAAATCATAAAGTTACAAAACGTAATAGTATTTAATGAAAAGTGGCGTTTGAACGTCGGTATCGTATCACATCACTACTCGAAAAAGTTGGCAAACGGTACATGACGGCACGGTGTGCTCGCGCGACGTCTCTGTATCAACTGAGAGGGAGGGATCGTCTGATCGTCTCGGTAAAAGAGCTCGACGCATGCGTGTTAATGGCACCCCGCGCCCCGCTCTGCGGCTCTCCTCGACCACCGAGTTGAGTAGCCCTACTCGACGCGAACTGTTGAAAGAATTCCAAAAGTGTAATTTTCTACCTGGCTGTGACCGCGGCCGATCTTCCCACTCGCTGACTCGTCACGTTCATTCATAAATACCTGAGTCACTAGTGGCGGCACGGCGGCGGGGCGCTAGTTTCAAAACCCATCGGTCTGAGATGCAACAAACAATACTGTGGACCCGCTCAACTACGGTACGCAAACCTCTCCAATTGTTATACAATACGCATCCTTTTGTTGAGAGCACGTCGTCTTGGGCATCAGGTAGAGGACTAATTATAAATAGCAGTCCGAAGGGACGGCAGGTATACAGCAACAATAACACAGGATGTGTCGCACAATAGATGCGACACATTCATTCAGCTTTTCGGTGAACGAGCTTGGTTGCAACAAAACTGCTTTTGAGGCAATTTAGCGACAATTTTTTTTTAAATTTTGTGGTCCTATTTAGTATAAATATTTTATAGGTGAACTTAACCGTAAAAGCGCAGAAGATTGTAACAAAATCCACGTTTGGTGGCGTGCTAACGTAGCAATAGATATGCTAATGTAACTACACTGTTTTACTGTTGTTACAATACATGGATAAGTGTTGGACATTGCAGTACTATGTTACTATTGTACTAGTGTTCAAACAAGTATGATTTCAAATTGATCAAACAAATGTCCCGCCTGATGGCTATAATAACAATTTTCATTTTGTTAACCGTCGTTATTTTCGGTTTTAGTACTTTTCGTATTCGAAACTTTGACTAGAATCATAAAAGTCCTCACATACAAAGCCTAGTTCTAGTAGTGGTGCTGGAATCTATATACGTCTGTCAAGTTATTATTCATAAATATGATTACACGTTCAACCTTAAGAGAATGTCTAAACATTCGAATCAATTTGGATTGTGATCAACCAATTAATGGTGGAATTCATAATGTTGTTTTGTTTGTTTTGTTTGTTCTTTTGCTGTATATTTATATTAGTATATTAGTTTCCTAGCAATACATTTACCTAAATTCCTACAATATTATAATAATAACGTAATCTAATTGACAAAATCAATTCCCCACTGACTTTCCCTTCCAGGAAAAACAGTAGTACATTAAGGTGATCTAATTTAATAATTGAAAAACATTCTTGTGTAATTTAGCAAACTTTGTCAGTTGTTGTCGTTTGAATGACCATTCATTACAATTTCATTCATAATTCTACGACTACAGCATTAACAGGTGTTTTGCTTTTGACCAGACCCTTTGCCAAACAAAAAACTACGCTATTCATAATCTTAAGTCCTTTGTTGTTATTCTCTTTGACATTGGGTGAACATGAGCCTGATCTTAATTAATTTCTTAATTAGTGAAGTTACTTCATATTCTAGGTCTAGATCATTTTTTATACATATTATTACATGGTTCATCACTTCCGAGTTACATTGCCGCTAAGAATATTCCATATTGGCCAGCTTATTGCAACAAAACAATAAAGCACAAAATAATTATGAACAAAAGTAAACCGCAGCCTTTGCAATCATTTTGGCATGGCTTACTAGCAGTATCCTATAAGTAGGGTGCAAAGCTGCAATAAATTACGGCGACTGTTCGAGAGAAGTAAGTATGCTCCACAAAGGTTCAAAGGAAGCTAATAAAACGAAATTAGTGAGTTGGCACGCGGCTGGCACGCTCCGCCATGTGCGCCGGCGTCACCGACGTCTTCTGTACATAGTCAGCTGTGGCGACACCTGGCGGGCACAGCAGCACGCGTGCGCCCCAACATATGCCGCGCCCTTCTACGGCTTCTCATAGCTTTTAATAAAATTAACAGTGCCACTCAACAAGCAAGGACCCTAGAATATCTATTAATAGAATGTAATATACGTAAACCTGATTTTATTAACTTACGAATCAAGTTCACTGAAGTAAGAACAAATAGACAACTTTATTTTATGTTCTGTTCTACGGTTTAGATCTGATTATAGGAATCAACTACTTGGGAATGTTCACTTATTTTTTAAATTTCCATATAAGTTACTGTCAGTTATGTAATCGCAATCATGACTAAGGTATTAAGTGTACCGTTACAAGTTTATATTAAAATAAGTAGACTATTAAATAATAAAGTGTGGGCGAGCCATGTTTCTGCAAGTATGGGCCGGCTCGACCGGAGTGATACCACGACCTTACAGAAAACTGGCGTGAACCAACGCTTGCGTTGTGTTTCGCCATATGAGTGAGATTACCCCCTCCCCGATCTCTCCAATCACTGAATCCGCAACAATTATGAAATACCTAATTCCCAAAAGGCCGGTACCGCACTTGTAATTGTAACGCCTCTGGTGTTTCGAGTGTCTATGGGCGGTTCCGATCGCTTACCGGCTTATCCCACAAAAAATATGCAAATCAATAAATTACGTGAAAAAACACCATAATGAAATAAAAAAAAATTATATAGTCTCTACACATACAGTTTCGTAAATGTTATTTTTTCATTCCACAAATTACAAAGTTACGTACCTACTTACTCAGTTTACAATCTAACTACATTTTAGAACCAAAGCTTAGTTGAAACTTTATTGCCATAAATAAAGTTAAGTTCATTGTAAACAACCATTTTTAAAATCTTATATCGCCCATAAAAACTAATGTCTATAAAATATTACATTTTAACTTCGCAAAAAACCAAAATAATGTTTGTTCGCTGAAGTACGCTCCATATAAAGTAATGCTTATCGCTCTGCGTGCAGTTACTCGGACAACACTTGGTTTTGAGTCATACATTATAATGGATATCCTTTTCATCCACTTACATTCACTGGCCTTGTATGACGTAAGTGCGGAATAACAATAGAACACATTGTGTGATCTGTTTTTATAAAAGATCCTTTTATTTCACACAAATAGGTTCACTCTCCTCAGCCCACGCTGAAGTAAAATAATAATACTTGATAAAAGTGGTACTTGGGAAGGAGGGAAACTAAATCGATTAACGCTAAAGGATTCGTTAATAATAATCTGATACGAAGTGTAGTTCCTTTATTTATTTAAAATGGATCGCTAACAATGCTCCTACGACCTGTTAAAGATAACATGTGACCATTCATCTGCCACTGTGATATAAACATTATCCGAAACATGTCAAACAATCTCAACTGAAGAATGAATTGAGAAATCATAATAAAGGTTCCGCTAACGCTAACACATAAACAAAAAATATTTAATGTTCATTGATCACAAACTGAATTATTGTTATAATCAATATTCTTCCTGCAAACTGCAGCTGTATTCAGCTTGTTCCTCCAAAAACGTTTCCATTGAAGAAACAGTAGCACAGTTGAAACAATAATTCAACATTCAACAGTCGGCTGATCTCAAAACAGTTCGAAAGTTATTACGATAACATCTGTTTAAAGAAAGTAAACGGAAGATGAAAATAATGTAAACATTAAATTTTGTTATTAATTGTAGATATTCCTGGAAAGTAGGTTTGTATAAAACTGTTGCAAGAATTCAGCAAATGAAAATATTTCTTTAAAGCTGCCGTATCGGACATTTATTTATCTTTCTTAATTATTTGTTTATTTAATTACTAGCTTCTGCCCGCGACTTCGTACGCGTAATCCCATTTTTTCCCGTCCCCGTTCGTGATTTTCGGTAAAAAGTAAAAAAAAAAATGTTGGTTAAAAAGTATCCTATGTCGGTCTCCTGCTACCTCTAAGCTAAGCTCTAAGCTACCTCCCTACCAATTTTCAGCCAAATCTATTCTGCCGTTCTTGAGTTATAAGTGGTGTAACTAACACGACTTTCTTTTATATATATAGATTTACAGTTTCTTTTGAGGGTTTACAGCGGGCAATTTCTGTGTACATTAGTTATTAATATTGAAGTTTATTTAAGCTGCATTTATTTTATAACGAGTTCTACTACAACTGTGGAACATAGAACATTCCATATGAAAAAAGATACGTACGTTATTTCACTGTACCTAATTACGTGTAAGATGCCAAGTGTCTATTGTAAATCAAATTATTCAGGTTTTGGTCGGAAATTTTGGTCACTATAGCGTGATACGTGATGTAGAATTAAAAATATATTGGCCAAATATGTCGTTGATTCAATTCCTATAATAAATGTTATATACCCTACTGACGTTACTATAATAAATGTTACCCACGACTTCGTCCGCGTAGATATAATACATAATAACTTCTGGCAGAATGTGTATTTTTAATTAGTATTTTTCAAGGTTAATTCCAATGCTCTGTAACAAATCTCATCTGAATGAAATGACGACATAAATGAAATACTATGGGTTTTCAAGGTATAAGTATTCAGCGCTGTGTAATAAGTTTTTTTTAATCGGAAAAGATATCATTTTTAGTAAACTGAAAATATTTTATTCATGGATTTCTCTCTTAAGACTGCTGTCAACCTCTTTGATTATCTTAATGTTGTACCATGATAACAAAAAAAAAATGTTGAAAGGATGTACAGTAGCATAGGCTACTTTTTGTCTCTTTCTAACCCACTACTTCCCTAAAACAAGGGGTAGATGATGTTATGGAACATTTCGTAATTTTCAAGGTAGATAACGCTAAAAGTTTTTGGTATATTTGTGAAAAGCAAAAATCGTTCACCAATTATTTTTTCTCTTTG